ATGTCTTTGGATCATATTTATTATTACTTATGAATAAAATATTTATTTAAAGTATTAAACAGAATTAATTCTAGAATTTTAAGTTGCAATTGTTTAAGATGTTAAGCCCCTATGGAGGTTCTGATAGGCCTAATTTACTTTATCAATTGTGATTACATTTTCTGGCACCCAGTCAGTAGTTTGAAGCGGTTCTCTGGCTGGTCTCCACGCCTCTCCTGCGTGCTGTTATGTCTGACAGTGGTGTTAATATGTTGACAAATCAATCTATTCATTAATATTCATCAGGCTTGCTGAATCCGCAAGCTTCATAAACTGTTACAAACACAGTTTAATGATTAAAATGACAATTGTCTTTCTTTTGTTCCTCCTACCATTGGATTTCTGGGTCTCATCTATCCAAGGCTTATTTTCAATGGGGTTATTTTTTTGTTTTGAACAATATGTAGTGAAAGAGGGACCTACAGCTGGTTCCTTTTCATGGCAAAGTGCTACTTCCAACTTAAGTGTTTAGCATTCTGGAACACAGTTGGATTTTTGAAAACATACCATGTGGTAATGGTGCTAGGCTTTTATTTAGCTTCTCTTTGTGTTTGTACTGGCTGTATTTTTCAATCTCCAATTCCTGGGAGGGAAAAACATACTTGTGACCAATTTAACTTGAATTTGCCAAGTTGAATGGCCAAAAAATATGCTTTTAAAATAAAATTTAGATGCTTTGATAAACTTAGTGGTATATTATAGCCATTCTATGCCTTGGTATTCCACATAGTTGATTCTGTACAGCTGAAGACTGAGATCAAGTGGGAGAATAAATTACAGCTGTGCTTATTAGTGAAAAGAGGCAGAAATACTTTCCTGGAAGCTGCTGGATCCCATGTGTAGGGGCTCCTGGTACACCATCACGATTTGCTTATCAATTCTGCACTAAAGACTTACTTTGGATTGATGTAAGGGCATCTCTGACTTTTCTCTTTCTATATGAGCTATCAGGCTTCCTTCCTGATTTTAATTCTTAAGAATACCAGAAAGCCATGTGACTCTGAGGGTGAGCAGTAACAACGCAGCAGGTGCCTTGGGAATAGGTGCTTCTGTGGACTTCACCTGTGAACACAGAAATGATCTTCTGTCTGCAGGGGTCGGGCGCTCATTGTGAGACAATTTCCGAGCCTGCCTCTGTGTTGATTACTGCCTGCTTGCTTCCTTAATGGCATATCAAGGAATATAAAAAGTCAGAAAGAAAATGGTAGTAATTTCTCTGGTGATCTCCATGGCCCATTACTAGCCCTTCTTAAATCTACTGTACCTCTCTAATGGAACACATCAATGCAATGATGGAAATGTATTACTACTCTAACAAGCTCATTCCTATCCAGCCCTGCAAAGCTTGTCCTTGTTCTCTTAATGAAGTAACTTGCACTGAGGTAACCTCTATCTCCTTCAGTAACTATACAACCACATCTTATGGTCACTGGTGTCACTGCTCTATCTGAAAGAAGGAACTCTGGGGAAACAAAAGCTTTATTAATTAGCAAGGAACATGTACCAAGGAATCAGTTAAGACCTGTGTTAGGATCCTGAGAAGATGAACAAACATAGAAAAAAGTAATTCTTGGGTTGGGAAGGTGGCTCAGTGGTAGAGCGCTTGCCTTGCATGCATGAGGCCCTGGGTTCGATTCTTCAGCACCACATAAGCAAAGAGAAAAAAACGCCGGAAGTGGTGCTGTGACTCAAGTGGTAGAGCGTTAGCCTTGAGCTGAAGAGTCATGAGGGACAGCGCCCAGGCCCAGAGTTCAGGCCCCATGACAGTCCCTCCACTGAAGAATATTTCAGTTTTCTCTATATTACTGTTCTCCCATTTAATTTACAAATATTAATTAAATTACTGCACTAGCCACCTTTGTAACTGGGAGCAGTGACCAGCGTGTGGTATGGGAGATGTATAAATACAATAAATGTTACTAATAGAGGCAACATTTATTACTAATTCTTAAGTTTTCTTTCAGGCATGCAAGGCAAACACTCTACCATTGAGCTACCTTCCCAGCCCTCATTCTTAACTTTTAGTTAAGGTATATGTTAAAGGATCTAGTCTGTATATTACAGTATCCATGCATAAGTGGAATACCATATAAACTCTGGAAGTCAGGGCACTCTACCCAGTTCTCATTAACTCTTCTTTGTCCTCTTTATTCCAAGAGGTCCCATTATGTCCATTTTTCTACATAATTATAAGTAAGCCAGATACACTTAGCTTAAAGATTCCCTAAAATGTAAAATTAGGAAGGAATATGTGGAACAAAGTACATAAAATTACTATTAATCGCTATATTTTAGAAAGTAGAATATTCCTTCTAGTCTATTCCCTAGAACCCCAAAGCATCTCACCTCTGTCCACTCAAAGGAGATTTAGGGCTTTATCTTCTACCTGGGTTTTTCTTCATATAACTTTTTCTCTTGTCAGACACAAATGGCTTTTGAATTATACTTTTACTTGAATTCTACATCTCTTCCTTTCCATTCGTTTGTGGTGAATGTCATTCTATCTCATCAATTCCAGCTAATAAAATCTACAGTGACTCTCCCTCCTCTGAACTTGGAGATCCTGATTTTATATTTAGTTGACAATTCAAGGAAATGAATGATTATTTTTCTAAATTTATATAGGCTATCTCCACAATTAAATTTACATTTCTAAGACGCATTATGTGTCTGTCCCCTGTTTTCATTATTAGTTGTGTTAGACGTAAATTGTGATTTCTCAACTGTTTCTTCAGCTGCTGATTGGATTCTGAGATAATCTAGATTGGCAGTCTTACAAACAGTGTCAAGTTATTTTACTGAATTTCTGGATTAGAGATGTATCCAGCATAAAGGTTAATACTCCTTAAAGGTAAACTTGTGACAAGAAGTACCAGCCACACATTTATTCAGAACTGCTTTTTCTTCTACCTTCTGGGAAAGAAAAAAATAACTACACTTTATTTTCATCTTTGCTGCGTTATCCTAAATACTTAGCTGCTCCTTTGGCACACATGATAGCTCTTTTGTAGGCCACAGATTCCATTAAGATATATACACCTACCTAAGATTTACAACTAATTAGAGGATGTTAGAGGTTGTTGCTAATGGTAACTTAAAGCTCTGATAATGGATAGTTCTTTCCATTTACTACTAACAAGATCTAAGAACTTAATCTACCTTGGGCAGTTTATATATTTTCCCATTTCTATGCTAGTGTATGTGATAATAAGCATCAATAGGAGACATACATATAAGAAGGCATTAGTCTTTTAGGTGGTGGGAATCTAAAGTCATAGCAAACTTAGAGCTAGACATTGCCTAGACACTATTTAGCAAGGAAACAGGGCTTCTGGTGAACAGACACAGGTACAGATTGGCTGAGTTCTCATGGGACCAATGACCAGTTTCATGATTCTTGCCTGTGGTGTCGCTTCTTTTGCATTATTTTTCTTATTTGGAAGAGAAATATAATACAAGAACCTAACTATGAGATTGCATTTGAAAATTAAAGCAACTACAAAGTAATTTACTGAGGAATATACTAAGAATGATATTGTACCATTCATAAGGAAATGGAAAGACTTGGAAAAAATTATATTAAGTGATGTAAGCCAGATCCAAAGAAACACAGGTTTAATGGTTTCCCTCATCTGTGATAACTAGAATGTGCCTATTAATCTACAAGTGAACACACTGGATGGTAGAAGAAAAAAAATACACAGAGTCATGATAAATTATACAGGTCTCTAGGTATTCAGAGAGTGAGACCAAAGGAGGATGTTCTTAGGAGGGGATTACATAGGCACAACAGCTATGTGCGTCCGACCACGTAAAATAACATTTATCAAAATGAACTCTAGGAAGTGTAAATGAGGTTTTTTTCCCTTGTTGTTGTTTTTTGTTTTTATTTATTTTTGTCTTGTTTGTTCATTAATCTATCTTTGGGAAGGTAAGGGGAAGACAAAGAAATGGTGGGGAAAAGGCTGGACAAATCCATCAGCGATACTCTTGACTCTGTGTTTAAAATGAACTAAACAACTTGTGTGTGTGTAGATGGGAGGGAAGAATAGGGAGTGAACAAAGGAAGGGATGATTTTGTTAAAAAAAGTGCTCTTTATCTGAGTTATGTAACCATAACCTCTCTGTACATCACCTTTATAATAACAATAAATAAATTTCAAGAAAAAAGAAATGACATGAAAAAAGAAGAATATAGTTTTTAATTGTACAACTGTCAAACTAATGTGGTCATCTAAATACAAAGAGAAATTATAGACAAATATTTTCAAGTACTGAGCATGTTGATTCAATCCCTAAATTCCAAGGACATTGACAAATAAAATATTTTACAAGCTTTGGTAAACATCATAATGTTTTTGTGTTGGCAGTATGTTAAAAGTACTTAAGGAAAGGTTGTGTGTGGTGGGCACTACTGTAATTCTAGCCATATACATGGGAGGCAGAGGTAAGAAGATCACACTCAGAAGCCAAAAAAAAAAAAAAATCAAAAGGACCTATTTGGAAAACAAACTAAAAGCAAAAGGACTGGTGTGTGTCTTAACGGGTGAAGCACTTGCTTAGAAAGTAGAAGGCCCTAAGTTCAAGCCTCAGTATCACCAAAAAAAGGGGGGCATTAATATAAAACTAAGTACATGGTAATAAGTTAAAATGCATTTTCATTCCATGAACACACACATATTCATATGTTCTAGAGAACTATACCAAAATATGAACAAGTTCCTTCCAGCTTATTTTATCAACCTTGTAATACAAGTTTTCCTAATGCTTTGTTTTTATAAAAAAAACACATAACATATCCAAAGACATTTTTTGATTTATTTTACTTCCTAATTCACTACAACCAATTGTTTCCAATCCAGTGGGCACTATGAACATCTAGAGAGTTTAATAATTTACAGTGAGATTAGACACAGTGATGGATAATGAAAACACTATTGGGTTGGGATTGAAGATATTACCTTCGTGAGAGATCTCCTTCCAGGGGTTTGGTGGATACATAAAAGCTGCATTCTGGATCTGGTCGTGAATGTCTTCGTCTTCATTAAATGGGAATGTGCCACTTAGGCTCACATAGATGATAACCCCAACAGACCACATGTCTAGAGAGCGATTATAGCCCTTGTTCCTGAGAACCTCAGGGGCCAGGTAAGCTGGGGTACCCACCACAGACCTCCGGAAAGACTTCTCTCCAATGATCCGAGCAAAACCAAAATCACAAAGCTTCACCTGTTGATAAGAAGAATTCTCTGAAAGAATGAGTATAAAATTGTGTGTGTGTGTGTGTGTATGTCTGTATGTGTGTGTGTGTGGAGTTGCTCAGGTCTGCTAGCTATAACATATATATGTATATTACATATACACATCTGCAGATAAATATGTATATTACATATACACATCTGCACATAAATATGTATATTACATATACACATCTGTATATATATGTGTGTGTGGATATATTATATATTATATATATTGTATATCGTTTGCATTATATAGCTTCTTTTCTAGACTATATATGACTATAAAATATAGACTATATAATATAAACTATATAAATACATATGCATGATATATTGTCTGACAACTGTATTTCATGCATAATGATATGTTTTTCTCATGGTAGAAAAACTACTATTTTCCACCTTATATATTCAAAAACTGGTTTATGTGTTGATGTGAATACTAAGTTTTCATTCTTAAAACCTTCATCTACCTGCTTTCCCTTTTACTCCCTAAAAACCAAGAGTTAAATGTGGAAATGAATGGATAATACTGCTCACAGGTAGGAGACCATGTAAATCAGGGGCATAATGAACTTAACTCTAGGGATTGTTATAAGCAATAAAAATAGAGAAATGAGCCATGTTGTCAAAAGAACCCTCAAAATTAGCTCGGTATTGGTATGTGGACAGGATGTGCAGGTGTCAGGGTGAAAATGCAAGGCCAGCTACCCTGGCCTGTCACTTCAGATTTATGACTTCACTGGGGAAGGATGCAGTTGTTTTCTACTCTTTGTTCGAGGGTAAGGGAAGCAAATGATGAAAGGGGTTACAATGATCAAGATGCATAGTACTCACAAACTGATAAGTTGAATTGAATTGAAACCCCTTTGTGCAACTTCTTAAGGATAATTAAAACGAAGAAAGAAGTGTTGGTCTTCATCTACCACTTGAATCACCCTCCTGCCCTGCCCTGCCCTGCCCTGGGATACTAAAGAGCCTCAGTCTCAAGGCCAATGTTTTCAACACTGGACAAGGGCTCCCAGGTCTAGAGAAGCCACATAGCATCATGGGAAAGCTCAGGTATGTCTTATCAATGCAGATGAACTGAGAAGCCCATGTCAAAGACACAGGCTCAAAAATATAAGAAGGTAACACATGGATGCCAATGCTCAGGGAAAATTTAAAGCCAATAAATGTTTTGAGGGAGAATGAAAGAAGGTAAGAAGATGCTTCTTGGAAGCCAGCAATACTGAGAAATGCTTTTCTACTTGCCTGAGGGAAAGGATCTGCTGATGCCAGCAACACATTTTCTGGCTTGAGGTCACAGTGAACGATATTTTTAAAATGAAGATGCCGCAAAGCCACAAGTATCTATGAAGAAGCAAATCACCAGAATGAGTTCATTTCAGCTTATAAATTTCAATATTTTCCTTTTCTTTTGGTCATATTGGGGAAGAGCAAGTTGAACTCAGGGTCTCAAGCTTGCCAGGTAGGTAGTCTACCACTAGAGTCACCTCTCCTGACAAACTGAAAGATGTTATCTACCAGGACACAGATTTAAAAGGCCACAAGAAAACACAAAATGACCAGCCGAAATTCTTTTTTTTTTTTTTTTGTCGGTCATGGGGCTTGAACTCTGGGCTTGGGCGCTGTCCCTGCGCTCTTCAGCTCAAGGTCAGCGCTCTACCACTTGAGCCACAGCGTCACTTCCGGTTTTCTAGTGGTTTATTGGAGGTAAGAGTCTCACAGACTTTCCTTGCCTGGGCTGGCTTTGAACCGCAATCCTCAGATCTCAGCCTCCTTGAGTAGCTAGGATTATAGGGGTGAGCCACTGGCGCCTGGCTCCAGCCGAAATTCTTTATGATCAAGACACTCATATGGGCCAGATTAACCTCACACTCCATTATGGAATCCACACAGCAACTAACACAGATGTAGATAAAGGACTCCAGTGTGGAAAGGGGCTACATATTCTTATGTATTTTCATTGAACCAGTAATAAGCCAATGTAGTATTACTAACTTGGTATACTGGATTAAGTCACCAGGATAGGAGTCAGGTAGGACAATAAAAACCTCTGTAACTTTGGCTAAGTGTAGTTCGGATTCGGAGAAGAGACCAAACAAGGCTAGAAAGCTGTGGTTCAACAGTGATAACATTTGATATTAAATATTATTTTTCCAATCTCTAATTGATTTCTTACCTGAGTAATTAAAAACTTGGTGATGTGCTCTGGCAACCTGCCCTTTTCACTTGACAAGATCATCTCCAGCATGTCTCCATGGAGTTTTTCCATAACAACAAACACTCTCTCAGGCGTCTCAAACATACACTCCAAATTTACAACACCAGGGTGATGAAGGTTCTATTAAAGATAAATAAAGCACTTCAAGAAAATGAAGTTTTGTGTTTTTTTTTTAAATTCTGTTTGGCAAGCTCACTGATTATACAAAGCTGTTAAAAGTTGAAAGCTATGGAGAAACCCACACTTAAGATTTTTAACACCTCTAAATTCCACATGTGCTGCTTTATATTTTTTGAAATTCTAATGTCTCCAAAAAATTACATCTTTACTTTCTATGCACAGTGAAGTTATTTCTATGCTAAAAATCCAAATTCTAGCACCGTGAATTGCTAATTAGGTTTTAATTAGAATATCATATTGAAAAATGCAGAATTTCTTAAGATCATCTCCAATAGTAAGCTTACTGTCCCTAAAATGAAGGTCATCTTTAGAAGATTGGTAAAAAGGTTATGCAGGAAAGATGAAATTCATATATGAGTGCAAATGAGTGCACTGAAGAAGCATCTCATTCAAAACTTCTTGGAACTAACTGCTCAGCTCCTGGAACATGTAGTAGTTTGTCACAGAGGCTATGATATAAAGATCACTAAGAGGACAGAAAAATGTTACTGAGCCCTTGCTTTGTCCAGGACATTGCTACATGGTAGTCTTGCATTGTTCTTAAGTATTCAGTAAATATCTACACAAGAGAGCAATGGCTGGCAAATGTTGGTAGGTTGATAGGCGTTCACATACATCAAGTAAAAATTACTTAGTGTTATATGATTCCTTCTAACAAAGTATCATGCACTGTCTTCCAAAAACAAAATTTAAGGACTCCCTTAAATAATCTAATAGCTGAATAGAGGAAAAAAACAATTTATTTTTATTTTAGAAATATCACTGAATGACAAATTGTATTTAAAATAGACCATTCACAAGCTATTTAATAACCTGACATTTCTGGCTATTGAGTAACCTCATTGATAGATGCTGGTGAGAGCGAAGAGGTTATGATTAGATTTATACTTCTGGAGTTGTCTTCTGTTAGTAGAGAATGCCTGATATCACCCTTTAGATCAAGCCCATGACAGAGCTACTGCTCTCCTGAGGATAGGGGCTCTGGGAGTTTCCTTTTGTTACTTTGGCTATTTTGATCCTTGCTTTAGAATCTCATCAGTCTTTCTGATTCTGATATCTTGGAGTCTGATCATACAACACAATAGCCTTTCACCATATCAGAGCTAGAGTTATTGTTAACTAGTCAAATCAAACTCCATCAGAAAGATGAAGGCTACAGACTTACTCCCTCCTCATCATACTATCACTATTTATACTTTGACTAGCTCGCCAGTTGGCTATCTAGTAGCATGTAAGTATCCTATCTTTAAGTAGATGAGTAATTGTTTATCTGAATTCTGGGTTAATAACCAGCTCAAACTTATACCTTCTCTCCCATCCCCCATCCATGCTCTCTTAATGTTTTTTTTCCCCTCTTTATATCCCCTGTGGGATAGAGGAACCACAATGACTGAGTGGACAGATTATTGTCCTCCAGGGTCTAAAGATTTCAGCTGTCCTTTTTAAAAATCAACAACCATAGCAGAAGCTTTATGGATCAGAGGACAGAGTTCTTCTTAAGTTTTGGTTTTCCTAGAACAAGTCTACTAGGACATGTGCTAAATGCACCTTCTTTACTGAGCATTGTCATAACCAATTTTAACTTATTTTACTTAATGTAAATTTGATTCCTAGGCAGTGTTTATTCCCAGAATATTTTAGGCCAAGAATATGGGACAGATAAATGAAGTTGCTTGGTGTCACTTTGTGACATATCCATTACATGCTCCAGAGAATACAAGTTTCCATAATAGTATCTTTAGGATGCTATTTTCTTTTCCCTACAATTTTCAGTGTGGTTAGGTAAATAGATTAAAGAGGAAATAAGACAGAACAATCAAAGAAAGACTGAGGTGTGGACATTTTCTTAAATGCCCAAAGCTTTGGATTTGGGTGGAGAAAAAAAGGATTAATGAATATGAAAGGAGAAGAGCAACAAAAGTCTAGAAGGTCTCCTATGCCCAGACAGATGGGAGAATAGAACAGAAGGAAAAAAAGTGAGGAACCATGACTTCGGGGGCTCAGGGAGGCAAAGAAGGAAAGGGAAGTAGTGCTGTAAGTGGTCAGCTTATTGAGGGGAAGTTATTCCTTCCTGACAAGGTAGAAGAAGGCAGCTGGGACCAACATGGAGAGGGAGATGATTCTGAAGGATGCACTGATACCCTTGGCAGGGTGATGATTCAGTACACCTGGGGGAACCAATCAGGAGATACCTCAGAGCATGACTACACTCTAACAATGGAAACACAGGCACTTCTCAAGAAGGAGGAGGCAAGGAACCCTATATATAGTGAGTTTCAGGAGAAAGCCCAAGAACTCCTGCTCTGGGAACCCTGCTTTCACAAGAAGTCCATGTCCTTGTTTCTTCTATTGTCATGCAAACCTGCTTTGTCTGCTTTAAACACTTTCATGACTTTTAATTCTTTAATCATTTGATACCACAAGCCAAACCCTATATGGCATCACTTTGCATTCTTCTCATCTTAGACTGTGGAGGCTGAAGAAAGGCAAATGATCCAGAAGCAGTCCTACTTAAATTTTCTGAATACATCTGTACTGTCAACCCTCATGAGACTCTACCTGTATTCCTCTAGTACCTGAGTCCTCAGAGATACCAAAATCCTTTAGTCAATATATTTCTTTTCTCTTTTCCCTATTCTACAGTATGACTCAAGTGTCCCTACACAGAGGTTGATCATCTAACACAGAAGTTGCTCATCTTCTAACTGGAATGTTCCAAGAATATTTTAGGCCAAGAATATGGGACAGATAAATGAAGTTGCTTGGTGTCACTTTGTGACATATCCATTACATGCTCCAGAGAATACAAGTATTCATAATAGTATCTTTAGGATGCTATTTTCTTTTCCCTACAATTTTCAGTGTGGTTAAGTAAATAGATTAAAGAGGAAATAAGTCAGAACAATCAAAGAAAGACTGAGGTGTGGGGACCAGAGAAAAGAGGGGAGTCAAATGGAGACATTGAGGGAGATGAATAGGGATATATTTTATATACATGTATGAAAATTAAAAAAATGAGAAAAGAGTAACTGCAAATTCAAGAAAGCACCTGAATGAAAGCCATGTTTATAGAATTAGTAAAGATTCTTTAGAAAAGCTAAACACCTATTCATTATACTTGGGCTTGCTCATTTATAAAATTCTTCTTGCTTAACATGTGTCCTAAAAGTACTCTTAGTGAATGCTAATAATTCTATCAGTAAAATACACTTGCTTTTCTGCATAGTTTTTTAAAATAATAAACTGATATTAGAATTTACTGAATATAGCCATAGCTAAGACAAAACCAGCAATGATGCTTCCTCAGAACTTGATTTCCTTTCTTTTTTTAAGTTGAACCAAATCACCAACCCTTTTGTATCTGATAGAAACAAAAGAAAATAAAATGGGTATAAAGAATCATGCCTTATGCACCCAAACTCCTTACTTTATACTCATGTGAAGTTATTTATTTAGCCTAGCGAATGTACTATTTGAAGACTGGATAGGAAAAAGATCAAGCAATTATCTCTGTCTTCAAGTGTAATTTATGTTAATCATGTTTATACCTTAAGAATGACTTCAAGATAAACTTTAAACATGGTGGCCCATGTGACTCTACTAGTTGTAATTTTTCACAGAAAATATGAAATTACATTCTAAAACTTTTTATTCCTAACGTCCAGAGTAAGTGAATTTAAAAACTGGCATGAAGATGACAACATCAACGAAAACACAGTTGTGTGCAAAAAGAATCTTTGCTATCTTCCCAGTCTTACCTCAGGAATTTAGATAATTTAATAGCAGAGCAAACTTTTACAGGACTCTTGGACCATCTGTTTGGTGCATTAAGTAACTTAATTTTCAGGAAATGAAACATTTGGTCAAGGACAGGAAAGACTAGCATGCATTCACACATAACAGATTGATGACATATCCGCGGGGTGAATAAAAGTTGTTTCAAAGTCTGAGAGGAAATATTTTTCAACGATTAAGATGAAAATTTTTAAGAGTCAGAAGAAGATGGCGGAGGAGAGGCTGAGGGCTCAGCAAGCTCTCCCGTAGAAACCAGTATTAATATTCCAGTGGAAAATTCTAAGGCTAGAGAGCCACACCAAGTGTGTTATCATTGTACAGAGAGTTTGGCCAGAGAGGAAAAACTCAGGCAGCTTAGTTAAGGACACAGATTCCAGCACCCCTGGTTTGCAGCAGCCATGGTGGCAGCTGCTGCTGCTGGCAGCCATATCAACAGAGAGAGCCAGGGACAAAGACACCAGAGGCGGTGCATGAGCAGATTCTACTCACCACCAGCAAGAACTAACAAGGAGCAGTAATCTTGATCCTGCTGACCACAGAGAGTCGCAGACCATGGACGTGGATGTCCCAAAAACCAAAGGAAAGCTGTGAAGACATCCTCACTCCTTCTCAGGAAGCAGAGGTGGGAAGGTAGTCCCTTCCCCACTACCAGAGAAAAACTTCATCTTTGATACTGACACAGACCAAGCTAGAGCAGCAAGCAAAACTCAGGCCTGGGAAGAAGAAAATTGGAGCCACTCAACAGGTCAAAAAGATATGACTTGTGGCAGGGCTCAGCTCCATCCCTGGGGAGAGCTGCCCCTCCCAAGCAGAGGCAGCTCTGAGTGAGTGTGGCTGACTCTCTGTAGTGGGTAAACAGAGCCAGAGGCTACCCTACCCAGCTGCTGTGCAGGAAGCAACTCCAGCCCTAGAATAATTGGAAACTTGCTACATATAAATCCTGAGATTGGCTCCAGGCTGGGCTGATTGAGTCTCTCAGGAGCTAGCCCATCAGTGTAAAGCTACTGACTGCTGGCAGGCCACAGCCCTATCTATAACCTAACACCCCCCACAGCAACTCCAAGCTAGACGAAACAGCCACCTCACTCCTTTGTGATACTCAAAGTAGATCACCCTCCCACTGAACTATCCTGGGAAGAGGGACA